TTTATAAAGCTCCAAGGAAGAGACAACTTCCTGGTCTTTACAGATAAATGCACTTAAAAAAAGCCCATAAACTGCATTCAGAAAACCCAGGGAACCTAGAATATCTGTGCTGACACCTGATCACGCTAGCAACAAGCTAGGCAGCGTGGCACAGCTGTCAGCCTCTCTGCATGGCACAGTCACCATTCGCATGCCACCTCCAGGGGTACCAAATTTCATACCCTCTCCCATAGCAGCCAGTGACCCTTTCTAACCAGGGTTGATTGGTGTTATTAGGAGGTAACATCTGCGTGGTGCAACATACTGACGTGAGATGAGAGCTTTCTTCGGGCAGCAGCAGAATGCTTCAATATTCAATTGCTTCAAAAGAAGCTTCAATGCTTCAGGAGGCAACTGAAGGCATGTATTACAGTGCAAAGAGGTTGATCAACAAACTCAATTAAACAGAAATGTGTGCCTTTTCTACTTCCATAGTAGACTTACAAGAATTTGAAATATTGCAGTGTCATACCCGTCTAGCCATATTTTGCAAGAGACCTTTTTTTCGTTTGCAGAGAGGTCTGCTCATTAACCTTCACTGGAAGGGAAGGAAAACAAAATGCAATAAAAGCACAGCAAAACTCAGGCCAGACAGTTTGAAGAAAAAACCCAATCCATTTTCTGAAATTATTCTGAATTTCTCTCAGTTCAGGGGACTGGATCTTGGCTTTACAACAGTTTTGTACTGTAAAATATATTATCCCTCTTGCATTCACAGCACCAGCAGAATCAGACTCTGGATGTTTCAAACCGTACAAGTGACAACTAGGCACACCTTTCATAGAATCTTTGGGTTGGAAGGGACCTTTAAAGGCCATCTAGTCCAGCCCCCCTGCAATAAGCAGGGACACCTTCAACTAGATCAGGTTGCTCAGAGCCCCGTCCAACCTGACCTGGAATGTTTCCAGGGATGGGGCATCTACCACCCCTCTGGGCAACCTGTGCCAGGGTTTCACCACCCTCATTGTGGAACATTTCTTCCTTTTACCTAGTCTAAAGCTACCTTCTTTTAGTTTACAACCATTACCCCTTGTTCTATTGCTAGAGGCCCTGCTAAAACACTCTGTCCCCATCTCTCTCATAAGCCCCTTTGAAGTACTGGAAGGCTGCAATAAGGTCTCCCTGGAGCCTTCTCTTCTCCAGGCTGAACAACCCCAACTCTCTCAGCCTGTCCTCACAGGAGAGGTGCTCCAGCCCTCTAGCTCCAGCTGTTCCCCTGATCAGTTTTGTGTCCCTCCTCTGGACACTCTCCTACAGGTCCATGTCTTGCCTGTGCTGAGGGCTCCAGAGCTGGACACAGCACGGCAGGTGGGGTCTCACCAGAGTGGAGCAGAGGGGCAGAATCACCTCCCTCAACCTCCTGGCCACACTGCTTTGGATGCAGCCTAGGACAGGGTTGACCTTCTGGGCTGTGAGCGCACATTGTCGCTCATGTCCAGCTTTTCATCCACCAGTACCCCCAAGTCCTTCTCAGCAGGGCTGCTCTCAATCCCTTCATCCCCCAACCTGTATTGATACCCAGGTCTAAGACCCTGCACTTGGCCTTGTTGAACCTCATGAGGTTCACATGGCCTCATTCCTCAAGCTTGTCCAGGTCCCCCTGGGTGGCATCCCATCTCTCAGGTGTGTTAACTGCACCACTCAGTGTCATCTGCAAACTTGCTGAAGGTGCACGTGATCCCACTATGTTGTTGATGAAGATATTAAAGAGTACTGGTCCCAGTACAGACTGCTGAGGGACACCACTCATCACCGATCTCCATCTGGACATTGAGCCGTTGACTACTCCCCTCTGGAGGGGACCATCCAAACAGTTCCTCATCCACCCAACAGTCCACCCATCAAATCCCCATCTCTCCAATGTAGAGAGAAGGATGTTGTGGGGCCTTGTCAAAGGCCTTACAGAAGTCCAGACAGATGGCATCCATAGCTCTTTGCTTGTCCACTGATGTGGTCATTCCATCCTAGAAGGCCACTAGGTTTGTCAGGCAGGACTTGCCCTTGGTGAAGCCATGCTGGCTGTCTCCAATCACCTCCCTGTCTTCTTTGCTTTTAGACCAGGTTTGAAAACTCTTCTGGAAAATCTTATTGAGATTGTTAGTTACAGACTCTGAAACTCTAGAGTTACTGTAAAGGTATCAGCAAATTTTTCAGCAGCATTTAAGGTGACTCCTTTTGTGTGTGTGTGTATATATCTACATGTATATGTAAATTACAAATACGTGTAAGCATGTGTGTACACAATCTGTTTACGTACAAAAATGGAGCTGCTGTGCAAACTGACTGACTCCCCACATATCAGCTGAATTTATTTTAACACATTCTGGAAAATCTCCCAATTGCTGCATTACAGAAAATTAGTGCTACACACATTCTGATCTATTAGGCTGGTGATTGATTCCTATGTAGAATGTATGGTGAGAAACATGGAAAGAAATGTTAGTTCAATTTTAAGCAGGTCTTTGGAGCTCAGAGACCCAGCAAACACAATGCCAACCAATTCCTGTCTTGAACTGATTTCATCTGAAGATGTACAATGTCTGATTTTTACCACCAAGAGAATTACCACAAACATGACATTTTTGTCATTAGAAAATATAAAATGTTCTGCAGTTCTGCCTCAGGCTTTTTGGAAACTCACATACTTGAAAACAAGTGTTTTGGGTGGGTGAGGAACATTCTGCAGAACAGCTTTCACTAAGCTGGGATGGGCCCTGACAGTGCTTGAGAAAAGCACATGGATACCGAAAATCCAGGATTAAAACTGCAACTCTGTCATACCCATTGCAAGGGTATGGGTCTCTCAAAGATTGGCAGAAATGAAATAGCCTGGATTCAGGAGAGGCTGAGGAAATCCAGCTTGCAGGGACCTTCTATTCTTCATCCTCTCTCCAAAACTCACAGCCTACTGACTGACATTGTTCTTTCCGCAGGCTTACCAGGGGCTCTGTCCCCCACATCTGGCCTGCCGTACTGAACCACATCCCCCCATGTGATCCCCCCCCACAGAACAGGCTCCCTAAGCAACACATCTCTCCTGCTTCCTTGAGTCCAGCAGAGCTCAGTCATTTAACCAAAGCTTTATCCAACTGGTGGATACCTCTTTCCTTGAAGGACTGTACCTAAAGTCAGACAGCACAAATAATAGCCCTAGTGTCATGACTGGCTTTTGGAATCTTTTGGTCTCTTCCAGATCCAGCTGAACTGTGCTTTAATTCTTTTCTGAAACACCTGCCAGTTAAACCTTTAATTATAATGTAATGTAAGATCTTCAGACTTTCTCCCCCCAGCCCCTGCCCAGGTGTTTAAGTATGACATTAGCTAAAAATATGCTTCTGGTGCATCCCTTTTGTGATCTAACCAGGAAGGGAATGCAAGAGAAACTGCATTTTTGTAAATATGCTTTAAAAGATGACTTATATACATATTTAAGGTCTAACTTCAGCAACCTGTAGAATGTCTAGGGGAATTCTAGTATAGTAAATCAATCGGCATGATCAAGAGATAGCACAATTAAGCCTATAGTAACCCACACCACCTAAAAGTAGTTTAGCAAAAATGGGCTATGCGTGAAAGTAGAAAACAAACAAAGGAACAAATTGCTTAAGCAGCCTGTGTGTTGCATTAAATGAAGTTGCTATTGTCAGAAACGCATTGACTCTGCCACGTCACAGGAACTGCGTGTTCTGAAACAAAATCAAAATCCATCTTGCACCGCGGTGCAAAAGCAGCCGTCCCTGGGCCCTGGGGAAGGGCCCTGCAAAGCAGGAGGCCTCCGCAGAGAAATACCTTTCACTGATGCTACAGAGTTCACGCTATGGAGTGTCCCCAGGTAATTTCTAACTGCAATGGTGATGAACAGGCTGAAAGGCAGTATCTCAGATTTAAAAAACAGAAGAAAAAGAGCAACTAAATAAAGGCTGCTCAAGTCGCTGACACAAGTATCCAAAAAATGTAACTATAATAGTAGCAAATTGTTTGGAAGGGACATAAAATGCATGTTTCAGAGGTTAAGTCAATGCCTAGATGAGAAAGAGATCATGAGAAGATGTTTCAGCTGGGTAAATTCACATCTGTCTCCCTACTGCATAGTTAGATGGTCCTCCAGAACGTTTGGAAATGTACTGCCTGCTGTCAGAAAAGAGTCTTATCACATTTTTATGCCTCCCAACAAAGCTGATCTGTGATCTGTGAAGAAGAGAGATGTATCGTCTATGTGAAAAACATTGCAATAAGATAGCTCACTAGGAGGACATCTATTTAGAACAACATTCACTCGGTTTGTGCTTTGAAGACGACAGAAATGTAGGTATTTTGGGGATAGGGTGTGGGATGGGAGGAGGTGGGAGCAGACTTACTGCACACACACATGCTTTCAGTACAAAGCTTACTGATAGTGAATGACATGGAGCAGAACTACAGAAATTTCAGAATCTAGTCTTTCTCTTCACTGGCAAACATTGCTCCAAAACAAAATGATACCTAAACAAATGCTAGAGAAGAATCTAGATTCTTCACATCTTTCAGATAAATGAAACCTTGTCAAGCGAGAAGCAAATGGTAGAATAGCACAGCCGTGACAAAAGCCCTGATCTGACAGTCAGGGCATACTGCTGTGCTCAAACAGGGTCTCGATGACTTTAGTAAGTCTTCACAGAAGTCGAGTAGTCGTTTTGCACACTATCAACTATGACACCAGGACCTATTTCAGTACTCGGCTCCACACCCCCATCATGTTGGCAATAATTCAGAGTTCATGAGACAGCTTGTAAAGGAAGAGAAAAAAAAAAAAAGCAGTGTTTTTTTAAACCTCTCTAATTTAATGTTAGCTTTTTATGTGTCTAACATCAAAGCATTTTTTCACTTCTATTTAATCAAAATTAATCACTAAGATTACTACAGTAATTTATGTTAGAGATTATTGAAATGAGTGTTTTATTAAAATCTGGTTTTATTAATAAAACACATTCTGGCTAAGGAATCATACAAGTCTGCTATTAGAGACTATTAACTGGGGACTGGGAGTTAATCATAACAGTCATGCTGCCAGGTCCTTTGACAGCAACACACACTGAGTTTGCTTCTGCTTTTACTTTAACTAGTATATTCAAGTCAATTAGTTACCCTAGCACATGAGTGGTCAGAGTAACTCTTGTAAAATAGGGAAAGGAAACAAAGGTACATACATCTCAGTAGTTTTGAGCAAAGGAAGGGTAATCAGAAAGAGACTCACCAGCCTGATTAGTTGTGATGCTGACAGCAGCAAATTGTCTGGAAAGTGTACTCAAGTCAGATACCCCATTGACTGCATCAATCTCAAAAGTGTAATTGGTATGTGCCAAAAGGTCCACTACTGTCACTGTGGTGTTGGTGAGTCCAGTCTGACGGGGTAAGAATCGCACGTTGTCGCTACAGGGCTCACACATCTTGATGTTTCCTCCACATTTTTTACAAATTATGTTGAAAGTGACATCTTTCCGACCTCCAGTGTCAAGAGGCCAGCTCCAGTCCAGGATAACAGATGTCTCATTGATGTTAGAGATAACATTTCTTGGAGCAGATGGTGGTCCTACAAAAGGAAACATGAAAGCAGAGGGATGAGATTTTCTGTAGGGCTCTAAAATGGGAATAACAAAGGCACAAAAATACAAAAGTGAAAAATATAAATAACCAAACTCTTCTAGTTATTTCCCGTAGAGATTCCTGAAATATTTCACTGGACTACAGACCTAGACTATCAAGTATCATGTTTTCTTATAGACAGACAGAACCGTCAGGGTGCAGTTCAGGACTGAGTGCTGAAAATGTTGGTAGCAATTTAAAAATCCTAGCTCTCCTTCTTGAGTCTGACAAAGAACAAGAAGGAGAAAATGAAAATAGAAAGACATAATCCCAGCCCACTGATATTTGGTAGCCTGTCCAAGATGGAAGAAGACATGGGAGGCAGTGGATGGCTGACTGCAATGGGACGTGAGAGGAAGCAAGCAAGCTGCTGAGATACAGATGGAGGAGCAAGAATGACAGCCCCGAGCATAATGATGCTACTCACTGGTGCAAGCCATGGATGGAGGGTCTTTCTCAGAGCGAAAGTAATTCTTTTCACACCTGCAGTTCAGAGATGCATCTTCGTAGGTAGAGCTGTGAGGTGGGCATTTGGCACACTTCACGTTGCCAGCAGAAGCTTTGTAGAAGCCAGGTCGACAAGCTGCAAAATAACAGGAGTATACTTTTAAATTCCATGGACATCTCCTCGATTTTAACACCTGACTTTGTTACTGCCCTGGAACTTATCCATATGCAGATCACTTCTGCAGACTTTTATGGTCTAAAATATGGGTTTCTCTCATAAAAGAAAGCTGAAGGAAATAAAACCTCTTGGTAGAATGGAGCTCTTCATGCATCAACTTGGATTAGTATTTAAATTTGCCTGGAAAACCAAACAGCGTATTGCACCACACCACTAAGAAGAAACATTTTCTATATTGCGTCTTGAGAACTTCACTTATTTTTCTTCTGGATAATTTACCAAAACATTGGCCTGACCCTGCGCAAGCAGCTAACTTTATCCTCTCTCTGCTGCCAAGGTTTGCTTACAAGGGCATAGTAATTGTAACCTATGTCCGTTCAGTTCAGCATAACTAAGCAAGCTCAAGCCAAGGAAATAACCTGAACAGGAAAAGATCTTTCCCATTTCTGAAGGACCGTGGATCAGGCCCAGTGAGCTGCTTCTGATACTGAGCAAGTATCAGGAACCTGCATAGTCTTTACAGGGAGGATGTTTTTTGCGTTAATGTGGTCTTCTAGGGATGGTGCTTGCACCCACAAAAGCAGCTTCTGATAAACTCTGGGCAGTGGTGTTTCATTAGCATTGGCACACTCTCTCTGTTTTGGCTCCTGCTGCATTTTAGGCTGATTCAGTGCCACGTTTGCATCAGAAGAAAATGGCCTTTGAAATAAGTTACAGAAATGAACAAAAAAGCAAATAACTTTTTATGAAAAACCCATGCAGTGAAATAACAATGTTGACTTCTTTCCACTAAGATGATCTCACCATCTGAAAATAAAATTAAAAAAAAGAGACCAAAACCAGATCTAAATCAGCAGGCTCTACTGTTCAGCTGCTGCTTCCCTCCAAGACATATGTCCTTCTCCAAATGGAATTTACCAAGTAAAATCATTCTGGCTGACACTGGTCACGAGCAGGTCTGTACTTAGATATACAACAACCGAACACACACAGACAACGTAACAAAAGGGAGCACACCTTAAAACACCTTCACCTTTTGCTACACTGTGGTATCTCAGCAAACACTGCCTAATGCACAAGCACACTAGGAAAACCCCAATGATATTCTCATTGACAATATAATGTTTTAAAAAAAAACAAAGACCTATACAAAAACCAGACATGACTTCTTTTTGTGTCTGGAGCCTAGACAGTCAATTTTAGATAAAATGACCCTGGACCTGTCACCGATTTAAATGTTAATTTGAAGACAAAAGAAAGGGTTCACCTGTCTTAGCCTAAGCCTGAACAGGGACACACTTTTCGGTTTTGCTTATGGAGATGAACTGATTCATAAATGCAGTATAAAAGCCAAGATGCACGGTATGATCCTTCCTGTTCTTTCGTGTGCTGCCCAACTAGAAAAGTGGATGGGGCAGCCTGAAATGGGAAAAAAGTCAGAATAAAAATCCCAGCACCTTTTTAAATAACGAGGCAGAGACAGAAGCTGCAGCATTAAACCAGATGTTCAGCTTCCACGTTATTGTCCACAACCAAAACCTAACTGAATATCTGGGTTCGGCAAATTTGTCGATTAGTTCCTGGTGCCAAACACCTGAGTGAAACGCACTGGCGAGTCAAAAGAGAACAAAGCCCCGGGCAGCAGCGTGTCCTATTCTGAAACACCTTAGTAAAGGAAACCCTCCTCACCAAGGCTGCACTGAACCCAGTGTGGGAAGCGCAGAAGGTTTCAGGAAGAAGCGCTCGCCTCAGCCCCTCTGCAGCACGTCGCAGCCCTTGCAAATCCGGGCGCCGGCCGCCGCGCGAGCAAAGCGGCTGGGACAGGCACCTCCCGCTCCACGTTCTCCCCTGCAAGCCCTGGGGAAACAGCCCCGGGTTTGAGGCTCGGAGGCGGGAGCCCAACAAGCAATCCGTCAACGCAGGACGGCTAAAAGCGACCTTGTGGCGAAGTTCACAGAGCCTAACGCCCACCCGCCTGGCCTGGCACGGCCTCTGCTCCCGCAGCCGGCCTTCCTTGCGACTCCATCTCCTTGCGGGCTGCGAGGGCGCTGCGGGGGGGTGGTGTCTGTTTAACACGCGGAAATAAAGGAAACCTCCTGAACACCTCCACTGGGAGAAAACGCAGCAGGAAATGGCGTTGGCTTTTTTTAGTTTTGGTGGTGTTACTGCTGCAGCCTTTTCAGACTCAAACCTCATCCCCTCCCAACTACTGCCCCGTGATGCAGGTGCCGCACCCGGAGCGAGCCTCTCCGTCTTCCTCCAGCTGATGGAGGAGCCGCAACCGACTTCGCTGTCTCTGGGCTCAGCGCGGCCACCCCTGGCCCCGAGACAAGGAGCCCATCCCGCCCTTACCAGCACTAGTAACTAAGCACACACATTAAGGAATAAACATCCCACCACATCCGTCCAGCTAATCACACAGCACTTTTGCCAAAACTCCCCAAGGAAACGTACCGCCAGGTATTGAACGGTTTCGCTTAGCCGTACCTACTCACCTTGAAGGGACATTTCGATGTTTATGGGCAGGCATACACAAGACAAAGATGTATTTATGAATACATACAGGATGATTTTTTAAAATTTTTTGAATCATTTTATATACTAGTTTAATGTAAAGATGGGAAAAAGACTAATAACTTAAAACTGAACCTTTTGGTTGTTCTTCCTACAAGACACAATTTTCCACTGCTTATTAAGCATAATTTATTCATAGCATTGTTACACATAAGCATTCATTTACAGGATGGAACTATGGTAAGACTGTTTATTTGGGACACTTCCAAAGCACTTACCACCAACAATTTAATATAGCAATGAATTTAACATAAGTAAACAAGTTTCTGTAAAAAGTGGACAGATTTTGGGGGGTCAGGAAGAGAAAGGAAGGAACCAAACTGCTCCATTTATAAAACGTCTCTTTCATCCCTCAGGTGAAAACTCACACACCTCTTTTAAGAAAAGGTGGTGGTGTGGGGCCAGAGAAAAAAGGAAGAACAAGGAGCATGCAGGAAGCACCGTGGTAAGCACGAGATGAGGCTTTTTCTTTTTTTCTTTCCCAGATGGGCAGGGATTTCATCATTTCACGCTTCTGCTATCTCCGTACAGAGTGAGCAGTCAGGGTGGGAGGGATGAGCCGGTCGGATCCCTCCTGCCCAAGTGAGGGCAGCCCCATCTGATGTCTTCCCCTTAGGCTGTCTCGCACTTTCTGTCTTTGTCTCTCAGACCAATTTTAGATAATTCACAAGTGTAGCCCAAAGGAGAAAAACAAATGCAATTACACTTGAAATTGAAGCTTGGAAAGAGAGGTGTCAATACAAAATGTTGGCAATATACATACTATTATTATTTTTTTCCTAGTCATTTTTTAATTCTGATATATACAAGGAAAAAAAATGAAGCCTTTACGTCAAAAGGCATTCTTATTTTTTATGTCAGAAAAATCGGATGACAAGAACTGATGGAAGAAGGTTTGGCTTTCTGAGGTGAATACCATGGCTTTGGTTTCAGTCGGGTTGAAAATAAAAGGACAAGCATAGGAAGTCTTCCCAGAATCTGTAATTTCAGCATGTAAAGCAGCTCTGAAGAGTAGTTGCTTTTTCTCAATGTTTTCTTCTAGAAGCTAAGAAATTTTCCCTTCCCTCACAAGGGGGAATGACGCGAGAGGATGTAGATGCAATGGGCTGGGAAGAAAAACCTCTCAGCACGCTAGAACAGAATAAAAGAAACCTTGGGAGTTTCTACATACGTGATGTAAACCATAGAGCAAGGCTGTCTGGTTTTGCTTTTTAAGAAGGTTGGCTCAAGTCAGATGCCTGATACCTGTTGGCCCCAGTGAATCCTGTGATAACTCCAAACTGCAATATTATTTTAAAACTGTATGCAGTCTGATTTTAATCTCTTTTATTTGAGTGCGAGCCACACTGACTTTATTGAAGTCACCTACTGGTAATAATTTCAGGACTGCGGTTGTCCTCATAACTGTATGAAAATGAAGTCCCTTAAACTACAACTGATCAGTCTGCCTCAGAGACAGAGTGGGGAAAGTTATTTCAGCAGAAGAAAAACAAATGCATGTAGCAATCCATGGTAGTTATTGCTTAAAGAAACGTGACTTGTCTTTTCAACAGCAAAGTGAATTTTGCCTCTGTTTGACTAATCTGTTTGAGATGAAAACATGGTCCGAATTAAGGGTTAAATGATTCATTTCAATGTGAACTAATTTTAAATTAAAATATAAAGCTGTTAGTACATCGGAGCATTTTAGCATTCAGACCCTGCAGCCCCCTGTACATGGAGCCATATCACCAATTCCCAGCCGTAAATACCAACCAGCGACCGGAGCCCGCGCTGCCTGGGGGATGACTCCCCAGCGCCGGTACTCCAGGCCTGACAGGGCCCGTTTCCCTGCACAGGGTCAAAGCAACTCTTTACTTGCAACATGAGCCGCGCTCCCCACTCCAAGGAACTCTGCTTTTTGTGCTCTGAAGGGAGCGGCGACGCTTCAAGGCTGCGGCATCAGCATCGCCGCACACTGAAAGCGGATATTGGCAGCCATGAAACTGGGTGTGCAACGAGCAGCATCCACCAAGCGCTCAACTGCCTCCTTCCTTCGTTCCTCTGCTCTTCAGTAAAGCAGCCCGGGGTCGAAATGCTGCTGTGGCATTAAACTACAGCGCTTGGAGAAGAAGGGAATTCCATCATAAACCCGTACAGCTCACGGATACCTTAACATTTCCTCGTAGCGTGCGTTAGCAAGACGGATGACAGCAACCCTGCGACAACCTTCCTGTCCCTGTCCCCTGCAGAGAGGACAGGGAAGCATCCCCGACGCATGTGGTCCGTGTTAGAGGCGCTTGGCACACCACTCCCACTGTCACCTGTGGAAATGGCACGCAGCCATTTCGATGGAAACGAGCAGCAGCGGAGGTCCTGGCGCTGGACTGAAGCCACAGGATGACCTTTGGCTGTGCAGGAGCGCTGGGAAGTGAATGCTTCCCACTGGCTCACCTCGATGCCCGTCTAGAACCTTGCATCTCTGC